AGACAAGGCAATCTCACTGCACTTTATCCAAGAAGCACCATTCCACCACAATTGATGAGATAATAGTTCTGCAGGAAATAACCCATGTGAAGCACAATCAGCTGGATTTTCTTTTCCATCAACATGACTCCAGTTCTCAGGTGGTAAGATGGATCGTATTTCGGAAACTCTATTGGATACTAATACTTGCCATTTTTTAGGATCTGACCTTAGATTGACAACACGATTTGTGAATCACTCCAAGCTTGCACTAAATCAAAATTTATAACTAATGCCGCTTTTACAGATTGAATCAAGCATGCCAATAACACTGTTGCACATAATTCCAGTCTTGGAATCGTAATAGATTTTAATGGTGCTACACGAGTTTTAGCTGATGGCTGCATAAACCCTTTCAGATGCATCACAAAATCCGTGAAGTTCACATTGAAAATAATCAGGTAGCAGAATTTTCCTATGTATATTTATAGAATTCAAAAGTTTAACTTCTCTACATAGATTTCTTCAATTTTGATCAATCTCTTCTGATACAGGATCATTCCATGATAATTGTAATTTCCACAATTACTGAAGGAACATTTTAGCAAGAATTACAAACGGAGCTATCCACCCTAATGGATCGAATAGCTTTGCTACAAATGACAAAATAATCCTTTTAGTCGGAACACTTTGATACTCTATTACACAGACATTACATTTGAATTCATCATTGTCCGGATGCCATTCCAATCCCAGAACTTTCAATGTTTTGTCTTCTATTACACTATGAATATTGTCACTATCTGTGTTTGTTAAGCCAGAGGTTTTTAAACAATGATGTTTCACTTGTCGACCATTTGTGAAGCTCAAAGCCACCCCTTTTTAGCAGTTGTTGCAATTCGTCTATCAATGCAATACCTTCCGAACTATCTTTTACACCAGTTAACATATCATCAACATAAAAATCTCTTAAAACTATATTCTTTGCCTTTGGAAAGTTCAATCCTTCATCAATTGCTAACTGACTCAAAACTTTGGTTGCAAGATATGGAGCAGCTGCAGTTCCATATGTAACTATTTTTAAACAACAAACTTGTATTTTTTTATATGGGCTATCTCTCCATAATATTCTCTGAAAATCTCTATCTTTTCATGAACCTTATCTGTCTGTACATCATTTTAATATCAGCGGTTATTGCAATGTTATGAAGTCTAAATCTTAGTAAAATACAAATTAAGTCATCTTGTATTTTTGGGCCTATCATTAGTGTATCATTTAAAGAAACACCTGTGGTTGTTTTAGCGCTCGCATCGAAAACAACTCTGAATTTTGTTGTTAAGCTAGAGTCCTTCAACCCGAAGTGATGTGGGATATAATAGTGTTTATTCTCTAATTCATAATCTGTGTCTGGCATTAATTCTATGTGCTCTAGTGAAAAGTACTCTTTCATAATATGAATATACTGGTTGTAAATTTCTTTCATAGATAACAGCCTCTTCTCCAAGTATTGAAATCTTCTGTGCGACATTTCACGGGAGTCACCTAGAATATCTCTGTTATGTTTAAATGGTAATGCAACTGAAGTAACGACCTGATGTGTCTCTAAATTGCGAGTTATTAAAATGTTCTTTCACAAAGTTTTTCTTCATTTGTTAAAGGTTGCATATTTGGAAACTTTTCTAACTCCCAGAAAGAATTTACTAACTCATCTGTGTTTATTCAAATGATTTACATATACTGGCTCCAACTTGTAGATTCAAAATTTGTAGTACCCGAAATTATCCATCCCAACCTCGAATTTAGAGCAAATGGTAGATCAGGACCACGTTTCACAATTTCTCCTGTCATTAAATGCAGAAATACATTTACTCCAAATAAAATGTCAACTGGTTGTGACTTGTAAAATAATGGATCAGCTAATTGTAAATCACTGAAGTTATCGAAGATGATTGATAGCAAAGACACATAGGGAATGTTATCTGTCACCTTGTCCAGTACAAATGCTGATGTTGATACATGAATATCACTTTTAAAATGAAAAGTGAATACTAAATTGACTTCCCCATTACTTATAGTATTAAATTCTCCTAAACATAATACAGAAATGGAATTATCTTTCACTCGTAATTTTAATTTCTTCACACAATCCCTTGAAATAAATTATCTCTGAGATCCAGTGTCACATAAACATATACACTTCACAAATTGTTGTTCAGAATTTTGAACTTTTATTAAAGCAGTACACAATAAAATATGACTGGTTTGATTACTTTTTGCATTCGAATGATAATGAGAGGCACAAACTGTGGCTGAAACATCCTTAGGACTCGTTAATTCATCTCTTTTAGGGATAGATTGCATAGGCGGAGATATACTGTTTAACCGAGTTTTATTCTTTGAATTATTTACAATGTGCAAAATACTTTGATGCTTCTTAAAGCAATGTTGACATGTATTTAAACTCTTGCATTTTTTGAGCAAGGCATATTAGATAAACAATTAAAACAGTAACGATTAGATTTTAACAAATTCTATTCTTCTGATGAACCGATAAATTTAGAAATTTCGAACATTTGGCTAAACTATTATGACCTTCTTTACAATAACCACAGCCCAAAGTAGCAACCAGAACATTATTCTTATTTTGAAACACAGATTTAGGTACCTTATTACTTGTTTAATTTGCTATTTTGAAGTGTTCTTGCATAGTTTTTTAGGAATTCAATTAAAGTTGTAAGTTTTGGAATCTCATTACATTTTAACTGACGTTCCCACCATAATTTTGTAGAAGGGTCTAATTTTTGCAAAATTAAATAAGTCATTAAAAGTGTCCCCAAAATTATTCAATGGTTTGATTCAATACTTCTAAAGAACGAATTACTTCATTAATATTGTCAACTAAATTTAAAAATAGCAAATGCTGATTCATTTTGAAATAGTTGGTAAGCTTAGAAAACGTTTAATATATGCAAAAATTTGTTCACTCTTATTTGAATATCTTTGCGTCTAACAGATTCCATGCTATTTTCAAAATTACAATCCGAAATTTGAATGGTTTAAATTAATGCGATATGCTTCACCTTTCAACGAAGCCGTTCAAATGCTGCAATTTTTTAGGCATTAGATAAATTTGTATTATTTCTTACACAAGCACTGAAAAGATCTTTAAAAGCTATCCATTCTGTAATATTACCACCAAAAAGTCGGTAATGTTAAATTGGGTAATTAATACTGTCAAGAACCTGTTCTGAAATTACACTATTAGAATTATTTTTACTATTTTGATTTTTAATATTTTTTCCCCTTTAAATTTCCACAAATAAATTTTATCTGTGTACTCCTGAACATTATCTATTTTGTTTTCTAATTCTTTAGTATCTGTAATTAAAATTTCGATTTCAGAATCAAGCTTCCTTAACTCAGTTTTTTTTTTTTTTTTTTTTTTTTTTTGTGTCAATAATTCGACACATTCCTCTAGTTCTATTAAATTAATTTTATCTGCAGTTAAAATAGTTTCAATTTTCTTTACATAATTAGTAACACACCTGCATGAAACTGCTCTTTTTGTTTTAAAAGTTATAAGTTCACTCATAATTGATCAATTCAAAAACAGAAATTGTTCTTAAATCACTTAACACTATTATTAAAACGAAATCGAAACAGTTCTATGCTGTATTACAACATTGTTCTTAAAACCAGTTATAAACGAACTTTTATTAGAATATAAATGTTCAAAATCCACTTACCTCACAAAGTGGAGTAATTTTTCACCAACCATATACATATTTGTGTTGTTACAATGCACTTAGAACAGTCACTTTCTTCACTAGCACTCTGGCTAGACTTTTGGCCAATAATAAATGATCTTTCCTTAATATGTTTCACAAACAATAATTATGTAACACATGGACTGTATTCTTTCACTTTTATTTCATTACACTAATTATAAATAAGATGTCAGCGATGCAAAATAATTGATGCAAAATAATTGATACAAAATAAGCGAGCCATTCTACGTGGCTGTCACAAACACAATTCTATGAATCAATTATCTTGTTGCCACACATAAAGTTCAAAACTAAAGGAAGAAAAACAAAAGAAATTTACACTGTTTGCAACAATAAAATGAAGCAAACGATACTCACATAAACACATACCATTTGTTCCATTGTAAGGAATTGAAATGAGACTGCAAAGTTTGCTGGCTGACAAGAAAAAGGAAGCATTACATTTCTTCAGAAATTTGACATTTAGCCTAATTATATAGAATGCAAAAATTCACATTCCATGAAGTTGTACTTAGTAAGTAATGCAATTCCATAGATCAAAACCTGTGTGCTAATGCTGAATTTGTGCCATTCTCAATGCCCTTTTTTAAGTGAAAACAGATAACTCTGTACATAGTAAAAAAACTGTGTGCATAATGCAAAATTTGTGCAATTTTCTGATGCTTTTATAAGTGAAAAGAGATCACTGCATATGTTATGAGAACAGACAGTTTCAGCAGCACCAAGTTTTTCTGTCGCGTTACAGCATTCGTGATGTTTCTTGAAGCTAAAACAGATAACTGTGGAAGAACAGAGCCCCCGCCCCCAAGAAACAGTTTTATTGTGCACTGGCGAAAATTTAGAAAAAATAGTTGCTAACAATTGGCGACTTTTAAAGATGACAGATGTTAATAATCAGAAAGTATCAAATACTATCATACAGTGAGTGTTTCTTCTTAATGCACAGAATAAATATTTAAAATATTTAATGTAACAAAACAAGACAGAAAAAACTTACTAGTAATACAGACTTGTAACAGAATTTTTATACAATGGTTGTGTGATTATTTCTAAAATACTATTAACAGTCAATTACATTAGTTAATTACAGAGGAAAATGAAAATTTGGAATTACTGGAAAGTTGTATTACTCTATACCATTTAGAGATTACTTTCTAATCTTGAATTTAGAATATACTATATTAACCATGAAACATATATTTTTAAAAATGAAAAATATATTTTAAACTTACCCTACAAAACCTACATCAGCAAGAAGTTTTAAGTCCAGTACAAGTGGTACAGATTGTCCTTTCTGTCCTAAGTAATCATTTTGTGGGCCTCCCCCACAACCACCTTTAGCAAGAAGAAGTCTGTCACCAACTTTATCAACACCACCTGTAATTTAAAAATTAATATGTAGATTACAAATTAATAACTAAATAACTAGTGTCTAAAACTAAAAACACTGGAGCTACATGGATGGCTGACAGGAACCATAATGAAAATTAAATGCTTACTAAAATAATAATGAACAATTGAAACTAATTAAATATTAAGATATATATATTATATATATAATAAATTTATGAGAAGGAAATAATCAATAAAATAAAATAAAAACTGAAAGTCAGCAAATTAAGAATAATAAGGTTAGGTTATCTGAAAATGGCAAAGCCACAAAGGCTATCTGCTTAAGAGGACGAATATCTTCATGGAGGACTTTCTGAGGGAAACCACTTCATATTCATGTTACACATGGGGAAAACCATGAAAGCTGACCACGAAGCCAGCCCATTTACTTGGGATTCAATCCAAACCAGGTTGAACTATCAGTACTGAGAGGTTTTAACCTCTCGGCAACTGGTTGGGCTAAGAAGAGGAAGGAAATACTCTAAAGGCAAAAAATAAATAAATAAATACAGGGTAATCTTAAAATCATATGACTAACTAATGATAATCTTAGTAGCATGAAAAGCGAGGAAATCATTACAGCTTTTTCAGTACAGCAGGACATGTGTGGAGGATATACAATGATATGTGCTCATAACACTTAAAAGTAGGGGCAGATCACATACCATGCTTATAGTTAATGTAATCATATTGTGAAAAATTTCCATTAAAAACATTGTTTCTTTGCAAGAGCCAGAAATTTTATGTGCTAGAAAACATTAACAGGCAACAAAGCAATGTGTATAAAAAAAGAAACAACATGTATATCAATTTTTAAATAGCGAGATGGTGGTATTTGTAAAATAGTAAAACATAAGCAGGAAATAAAACAAAAGAGCATAACTAAGATATGAAACCAGACATATTTCAAACAAAAGTTACAAATGTTCAGTATCGTTACGAAATGCCCAGCTGTGGTACAATAGCTTCCCCGCAAAGCGGGTTTATGGTTGCAAGTGGCAAGGAAAGGCAGGGTTGCCAGATTTGGCCTGAAATTGCTCATTTAGTGACAAATTTGGTGATATGTCATAGACAGAGCGACAACATTCTAGAACGAATTCTAACCAGTTTGCTCTAAGGTCAAAAGCTATATATAAACCCTCCCTATACACAGAGTAGTACTGCATCATGAGTTTTATTGTGGAAAGTATCTAGAGTATGTTGAGTTCAGTAGTAGTGTCTTGAGCTCCGAGAGCAATCAAAGGAGTCAGAATCTGTACTTTAGTGCTTCGCCATGATGCTGTCTTTCTTCACCATCGTAGCCTGAAGGCTGATTGCTTCAGCTGTGTTGCTGACTGTTTCAGCATGTTAATCATAGTTTTTTTATGACTGTAAACTTGTTTTTGGAACTGTTCTCAATAATACTGGCTAATAAATTGTATTTTGATTCGTTGTCATCAATCACTCCAAATGCATGAGCCCATAGGATGAAATAATTAGTGTCAGAAGTGGGATTTGCAAGTAAATGCCAGTGACTCGCCTACAGGAAAAAGCAATGGCAAAGGAAATGAAGTTGATGGACTTCTTAGCAGCTGTAAAGGCCATACTGAAAGAGATGAAAGCTAGATAAGAATAAATGAAAGCTGGATTATGAAGAGATGAAGGCTGTGATGAAAGCCAGATACAAAGACATGAAGTGGAACAAAAAAAGTTAGTGAGAGAAATAAAAGCCAGAGAAAAGCTGCAAAAGCAACTGCAACAAATGAAAGTGGAGCTTGCAGAAGAAAAATGTAGCCATAAATGAAGATATCGAAATGACAGAGGTGGCATCTGAAGGGCCAAAGAATGAAGAAATGTAGGAAGTAGCTGGTGAAGTGTCTGAGAAAAATCAAGAAATGATGGATGAAACATCTAATTGAATGAAAGAAAAAGAACAAAAACATGAAGAAATAAAAGACGGGAAAGAAGTTTTTGATTCTCAAGTGCCTGAAGTAGAAGTGGAAGAAAGTGAAAATGCAACTGCTAAGTTCGTAGAAACTGACAGTGAAGTTATGAAGTTGAAGTTAGCAAGTATTGAACCATCTGAAAAATTCATGTGATGCAGAAATGGGAGAAGCTGATGTAAAGCTTAAGCAGAGCATTCCAGTATTGCATGAAAATACAACCACTTCTCAAACTAAGTACATACCTGCCAACCTCTAAAGAGAAAAATTCAGAAGATTTCTTCCCCAAATTCTGAAGATTTCTCCAAAATTCAGAAGAACACGAAGAATTAATATCATGCTTTGATATTAAAAAAATAACAATTTATACAAATAGAAAAAAGAAATTGTACTTACATTAGTAAATCAATTAAGTAGTAACTAAAAAATTTATAGGAAACGTAAAACAAGAACTTAATGTTACACAAAAAAATTATTTGCAATGAATTTAGAGGCATTTTTGGCTTTAGCCAAAAAAATTCTTTGGAAAATTTCCTGTCTAACAATTAGTTTCCTCATAACATTTAGCAATTAAAATGTTTTCTAGTTTCTAGTCTTAAACAAAGTTGACCTTTGAGGAGTCTTCTAAGCATTTTCTTTTTAAAGGGTTTGATTCTGTGTGTTGGCTTTTCCCCTTTAAACATTTTGATTAGAAGCAAAGTTGGTTTTCGGAATCTTATATGCCGACAAATTTGATGGGATCTGTGTTTCGTTTTGGTCTCTTCGTGGAAATATTTTAGCAATGCATCCCACTGTCAATAAATCTTCCTAGCACTTGCCTAAAGATAAACCATCTCGTGCATACATGTTTCAGAATTTTTTCTTGTTTTCACCAGAGCACAGTTCTTGGAAATTCTTTAGGTTTTCTTTCCTTTTTACACTTTTTCCAGATACAGAAGCTGGTCAATATTTAATGGTAAAGCAGCTGCAGCTTTTTCTGCTGCCAATTAATTAAGTGGCATGGGCATCCATAACAATTATTCATTTTTTCTTTTTTGAGGAAAGAGGCTACACCCTTTTGTTCACCCACCATGGCATGAACATTATCTGCACCAAATGAAATGCAGTTTGATATTGGGATGTTAAGTTGTTTCAACTCATTAATTACCAAGGAGGCAATATTTTCCCCCGTAGCATCTCCATTTAACAATGGAAGATGCAAAAGATGAGTTTCATTTCATTAGAAACATCACAGAAATATGTGACACGATGGGGGGTAAAGCTTCCAATCGCTATTGTTGCTGCCATCGATTGACACCGAAAATGCTGAATTCTGGAGTGCAGCTATCGTTTTACTTTGTGCATCGCAAGCAATTTCGTTCACAATAGAAGATGTTTTCGTGCGAGCACAAGCATATTTCTGAGCAATCTTGGAGTTGGGAAACATCCGTCTGAAAAGTTGACCGGCGTGATCGGCAGCGCTTAGCGGCACGCTGTGTTCGATGAGGAATGCAGTAAACAAACACTCTGCCAAAATGACATCGGCATCCGAATTCGAAAAAAATTCATCCACTTTCTTTGGCGTTATCGAAGCCGAAGCATTAACTTCATGCTTTTTAGACTTAACATACTTCACAATGTCGCTTGTCGCTTCTTCTACCGTGACTTATTATGAAGTCACACACGCACACGTTGCAAAATGCATAGTTATTTCCTTTGAAGGATTCTTTAATTGTTGGAAATTCGGCTTTCGAAAATATTGAGAGTACGGTTTTTTTTAACTCATTTCGTAACAACGACGTATTAAGAAAATTCGTAGCAATTGCAAACAAACAACAACAAAAAAAAAAAAAAAAAAAAAACATAATGCGACAATCCACGCTCGCTAAGTAATTCCCTTGGTGCTGAAGCGAATGCGAAAAAAATAATCTGGCGCCCACAAAGAAAAGAGTGGGAGAAACAAGTTCAGCGCATTGGATTGGCTGGTTAAGCAGCGAGTTGGGAGAAACCGCAGGTTACTGGATTCGAAGTAGTCGATAAAACACGATGCAATTGCCGAAAAATTCTAAAATTTAGACAAAAATCACTAAAAACACTTGGAAAAGGAAAAAAAAAAATCGTAAAAAATGGATTACGATCGTAAAATCGTAAAGACAAATGCATTTTCGTAACAATTACGATAAATTCATAAAAGTTGGCAGGTATGTAAGTATGTGTCTCATAATACACTGCACTTTGTAAAGACACAAGCTTAATTCTAAACCAGGATACTTCTCTTTGAAAAAGATCGGATTGTATTCATAACTGTGAAGCAAACATCAGAACTAGTTTTCAGAAAATAGATGTAAACAAGCATGTACCAACTGCTAAAAGTACCAAGGAAAACTCTACACATGATGCAAGTAAACTACAGAGTGTTGAGCAAACTGTTTCAGATCTTCCTGTGGATGAAAAATCTGAAAACACTGAATCTTCAGACTGTGAAATGCAAAAGAGAAATGCATCTGAGGACTGCAGTGAAAAAGTATTTAACCTTGGTGTAACTTAATGAGATTGAAATTAATTCTTAACTTTAATTTACGTTATTTGAAATTGTTATGTTGTTAATTCATTAATTCATGTACTTGTAAACAGTGAAAATATTTGTTTATTTATCTTATTTGTTTGCTTTATTACTTTGGTTTGTAACGAATTTGACTTCTGACCAAGGATTGTACTGCACAGTATGTGCACATACTGTGCAGTCCTTGGGAGGGGAAAGTGTTATGAAAAGCTCAGCTGCGGTAAGATAGCTTCCCCACAAAGCGGGTTTAGGGTTGCCAGATTTGACGTGAAATTGCCCATTTGGCAACAATTTTTGAAAAAATTGGGGATATGCCACAGATGGAGCGAGAACATTCTACAACTAATTCTTACCTATTTGACCCAGAATGCTTTTGAACGCAGGTCGAAAGCTATATAAACATTGCCTGTAAGCAGAGTAGTAGTGCATCATGAGTTTTATTGTGGAGAGTAGAGTACGTTGAGTTCAGAAGTAGTGTCTAGAGCTCTGAGAGCAATTGATCGAATCGGGAGCTGTACTTT